ACAGAGGTCTTAAAGCCGTCAGAAAAAAAGGCAGGAGGGAAGAAAAGGGTGACCCCAGGGAGCCCCTCACTGCGAGGAAACCCCCGGGGTGGGAGCTCCGCTCTCTGCCGTCAGCACGTGAGCACGGTCGAGCCCATCAGCACGTAGGGCTGGGGCTGTGCACCCGGGGCTCCCTTCCCTCCCCGGTCGTCCCTGGCCGTAGGAAGAAGCTGGGCATGTGCCGGGGGTGGGAGAGGACGGATTTGTGGGGGCCGTGGGGAATGCCAGACCTCCAGCCATAGGAAGTCGAGGTTCATTAGTTCCACTACGCGCAGAACAGCTTGCTGAAGGAGCCTGGGTTTCAAGCTGAGCGCGTCCCTTTAAGCTGCGTCTGGAGGACCCTTTGATTTGGGTAATTAGACGCAAAGTTTTTCTGTGCTGTGGGAGGCCGGGTATGTGCTGAGGAGCACAGCTACCCTGGGTTTACTAATGAGATAATTTATTGTGGCTGTCTGAGAAGGCTGAGTGTACACAACTCCACCCGCACACATGCCGCCCACTCCAAGCCCTCTGCTCCCAGCTGGAGAGACCTCGCACGGAGCTGGAAGTGCTGCGTTGGGTCTCCCTGGGCAGAGCCCTGCCGTCCTCCCCTCGGGGCACTCGTGCAGCAGGGCCCCCTTTGCGTCTACATATCCCCGCGGCAGTTGTCACTGCTTCCCTGCCCAAGCTTCCTAATTCCACTATTTTTCAGCCTGAATTTGATCTTTGATTCAATCAAGTAGCTTTGTTTCTGCCTCTCTCGCTTCCCCTGCTCCAGAAGATCCCTCCTTACATAGTTCAAGCGTTAGGGCGTGCCTACACTTGAAGGTTAATTCTGGATTAAGGGACATACAAATCTGAAAGACGGTAGCTAATTCCTGAATAGTTCTGGAAAGATTTACTCAAAACCAGTCATTTCTGAATAACTCGGCGCACCGGCCGGCCTGTACGTTCCCTCCTGTTCGCAGCAGGGTCAGGTAAGACAAGGTTTGTGAAAGGCAGGTCTGTTTTTTCCAAGCACTTTCTCCCCGTTGCTCTAACAGCAGATAATAACCTACCCCTCCAGAGTTTCCCTCGCTTAAATCCTCACACTGTCACGGCCAAAATGTGGCTACAAAGAGATCTAGGAATTCCCCAAGCGTTGGGATTGCAAGGGGTTATTTCACAGGTAAGGAATGCACTACCCGGCCTCCGGGGTCTCCTACGAGTCCCTGCCCCTCCGTCGGGCGACCGAGAGCGGGTCTGTCTTTGCCAGGCTGCAGTTTCACAGAGCATTTGCTTGCGGGAACGGTGCGGCACGTTTTCACAGAAACCTTCTGCACGCAGCCATGCCACGCTGCGGTGCATCCCTGCCCCGTCCCTGCCACGGGCCACTGCCAGCAGGTAGCCATCTGGAGATGTGATGGAGCCTGCTGCCTCCCGAGCTGCAGGTCTGCGCTCGGAGAACCCTAATTATTGCATGCAGGGGCAGATCTGGGCAGTGCTCTGGGTGTACCTGAATTTAAGTTATTTAGGTTAACAGCAACTTGCATGGGATGGTTGCTCGGGGATCTGGGCAAACTATTCAAAGCAGAAGAAAGCGTCTGATGAATTAGCCAATATTTTTGTTTGTGGACAATCCCCCCCCCCCCCCCCAAAGAAACAAAACCTCCAGTTCTTACCAATGTGTTTGCTACTCAAAATTACCCCATGAATCATTTATGACTGAACGTATTGCAGTCCGTGGGTTTCTCGTGTCCTGCCTTTATTTTAATCTTTGAGCTCTGGCTAGTCCTAATTTTGCTTGTGCCGAGTGGCTGTCTTCAGTCTCCCAGGTCCATACGGAGCTTTCAGGTCAGATGTAAGTGTGCAAGCACTGCTTTTTTATCCTATAAAGCTTTTTGCAAGCAGAAGTTGCAACTGACAAATAATGATTAAAAAAAAAAATCAAGCAAGTTGCTACCACTAAGGGGAATTCACAGATTTTTCATGAGCAAAGGAGCAGGTTTCCCGCAGTCCTGCCTCACCGCATTCCCCCAAGGGGTAACAAGGCAGCAGCCCAGAGGTGGGCGATGTTCAGTGGCATCGCCACCACGGCGCGGCACAGCGCCCTGTCCCAGGCTGGGTGCCGCGGGCTTTGAGCATGCTCCCCCCCCCCAGCCCCCTCGCTGCCCGCATCCTTCCTCAGTCTCCTTTTAGCCAAAATACAGTGCTGTGAAATGAAGTGACTGTGCTGCAAGGGAGAGAGATGGGAAAAGGGGGGACAAACAATGCGGCATCTAGCTGGAGGAGCTGCAGATGGTGGGAAGGGAAGGGAAGGGAAGGGAAGGGAAGGGAGCGGTACGGGCGCGTG